GTAGATGTTTGTGTATCTAAGGTGATATATGGAGGGAGAAACCCTGCTGGCTTAGCATGCTAGAGGCGACTGTGCTTTAGCTGGAGTTCAAATGGGTTTTGCATGCTGCTAGCTGTGGAAAAGCTGCACTAGGGATGTTTGTGGCACTTTGTAGCACCAGAATATATTTCCAGCCCCTGAAGGCAGAGGGACACTAGGTTGATTGCTGTGTGCTGTATACAAGCAGAAGGCCTGTTAGTAAAAGTGGCCATTTAATTAGCTATTTCATACCATAGTACAGGAAGGCAGCCAGGGAGAGAACTTTCCTTCTACAGGATGACAAAAGCTTTTACTTGAAAGGATTTGGGTGTTGCCTTTGCGTTCTGGGTAAGGTTTAGTGGTACCCCATTGCTGTCTTCTGACATCTTCCCATAACAGCTGTGCTAAGAGACCATAGCTAAGAGACCAGCTCTCCCCTTGCTTCACTATAACCTGCCCAGATTGTTAAGGCCAACCAAGAGCACTGTTATTCAAAATTACATCTCTTTGTATCACAGACCTAATTCTCTGCCGTAAGGAAGAATGTGGAAATGAAGGTGTGTGTATGAGATTAAGGGAAGGAGCTAAGCTCAGGCAAACAGGCACTGTGTCCCTTCAGTTCTGACCCATAGTCATGTCTTGGGTGCATCACCAAGTGACATTTCCAGCAAAGCCTGGGGCTTTGCAGCTTTGCTTGACCATAAGGAAACAGAACTGGTGGTTTAATTTGCAAAGAGGAAGGTGTGGAGATTCATATTTGGCTGGGACCTGTCCCTTTTTACATGGACAACTTGCTGCACAATCAGAGTTGTGGGGTGTATGCTATGAAGAACATAATCACCGTGTTTAGGGCAATCTAGACATGCTCAGAGATTCATTTATTAAAAAGTTATGGGGGATTGGTCTTCAGTTGGTGGGCTTCATGAGTGGGCTGTGGTTTGGCGGTGACTGACTGGGGCTATTTCTTAAAGAAGGAAAGAGAGGTAAAGGGGGTGACCAGATGCTAAGGAGGCAGAGTTCCTTTATCTTCAATAGCTGTGTAGAGAGGAAAAATGGTTAGGTGTGGTTTTCTCACTCCTGCATGACAAGCTGTCTCTGTAAACATTCCGCCTCTTATGTAGCTATTTAAACAGCCTTGTAAATAAGCCCACAAAAGTTATTAGCATGCAGTGTTTTTTACTAACCTGCTAAGGAAATTAGTAGCTTGTTGTTTCCATGATGACCACAGAGGAGAGGAAGCTTCTCAACAGGCTTGTTAAAGAAAGTGCCTTCTGCTATACAGGCTGGTGGAGGAGAGACAGACTTGGTTTCCATGCTGGCTTCAGAGGAAGCAAAGTGGAGGCTGGTGGGAGGAGGAATGGAGAGATCCACCCCCCCCCCTTTGCCAACCCACTCACTCCCCTGTGTGGAATCTCTAGTTGCCATGGGCGATCCAGCGAGTTATTAAATACAGTGCTGTAGATCTGTAAATTCCTTTGCATCTGGTCACTCTAAAGCGGTGGGTGGGATGGGCAGAGCAGAGAACAGGTTAGTTGTGGTGGGAGGGGGGACACAAAGTCTCACCTCTAGGATGCCAGGCTAATTGGAGAACTCTCTGCTCTGGCAAGGGAGTGAAGTGATAGGAGGCGTTAAGAGTTATTGTTGTCTTTTACAAATTTATATAGATGAAGTGGGATATGTCAGCTGATCCTAATAAACTGGGTAGTGTGCAATGGGTAGTATTACTGGTGTGTGTGCCTGTGTGTGTAAAAGAGAGAGAAAAATCCACAAAGCTGCATGCGTTTCTGGACTCACCTGGGGGTCATATAAAGGAACACCGAAAACTGCCTTATACAGTGGTACCTCGCAAGACGAATGCCTCGCAAGACGAAAAACTCGCAAGACGAAAGAGTTTTTCGTTTTTTGAGTTGCTTCGCAAGACGAATTTCCCTATGGGCTTGCTTCGCAAGACGAAGACCGAAAACGTCTTGCAAGTTTGTTTCCTTTTTCTTAAAACCGTTAATACCCTATGGGAAACCGTGCTTCGCAAGACGAAAAAAATCGCAAGATGAAAAAACTCGCAGAACGAATTAATTTCGCCTTGCGAGGCACCACTGTACAGTGGTACCTCAGGTTAAGTACTTAATTTGTTCCGGAGGTCCATTCTTAACCTGAAACTGTTCTTAACCTGAAGCACCACTTTAGCTATTGGGGCCTCCTGCTGCTGCCGCACCACCGGAGCCCGATTTCTGTTCTTATCCTGAAGCAAAGTTCTTAACCTGAAGCACTGTTTCTGAGTTAGCAGAGTGTGTAACCTGAAGTGTATGTAACCCAAGGTACCACTGTACTTGAGTCATATCATTGGTCCATCTTGCTCAGCATACATGGATTGGTGATGACAGTCCTTTAGATTTTCAGGGAGGAGTTTTTGCCAGCCCTACCTGGACTGAATTTGGAACCTTCTGCATGCAAAGCAGGTGCTCTACTGCTTGGGGGGCTGGGTTTTGTCATAAGTTCTTGGACTTTAGCATTTACTACTATATATGCTAAGAAAAATTTGAAGTGGACCTATGTTGAAGCTTTGGGTTCTGAAAGAATGAAGGCTTCTGTTCTTGTTCTAGGGCTGTGATATTTTGGCTAAAGAGAAAAATAACCCAGCGGTTGACATTCTTGGAAGTTCTTAGACAGTCTTCTCTGTCTTCCTGATGTGTCTTCTTTCTTCCCCGCCTCCTCCAGAGGCAGGGCTTCCTTCTCTTGCCTCTCCATGGCTGTGTGGCTTTGACTCACCCTGGGAGCAGCAGGAACTGCAGTGATGTCAGGCTGCAAGGAGGGAAGTGTGGGAGGAGACACACTGCCCTGTTTGGCTGGCTGGCTGGCTGGGAGCTCTTGTCCCTGCCACATTTCATGGGATAAGGATGAGAGCAAGCAACACTGGTACTCAAGGCCTTGCTCCAGTCTTCAGTGTGGGTGATGCACTAACCCCAGCTTCAAGATGAAAGGGAAATACAAAGGTAATGGTCTCAGAATATGTTCTCTTTTCTTCCTGACTTCCAAACCATTGTGGTGGGATCCCTAAAATGAAAATCTTGGGAAGGGGGTTCCAGGCTGAAAAATGTTGAACTGTAAGCCAGGAACTTCTCTGGTTTAAATATCACCTCCGCTAAGAAGTCTGGACATGGCCTCAGGCAAATTACAGCTTTTCAGCAACCCTCAAATGTGCAATATGATAAAACTGACTAGGCAGCCGGATAAGATTATTTTTTTAAGGATTGCCCCAGTAATGCATGTGAAGACCTTAGAAAACTTTTAAAGCACTACGTAAATACTAGACAAACTTTGAACCTGGGACAAGGCAGTAGGTGGGATGTTTGCCTGCATGGCTCATTCTAAATTACAGAAATCCCAGTGGATAACAAGGAAGGAAGAGCTTGGAGAGGAGAAAGGGACCACCCAGGTGAGCCAGTGGTGACTTTCTCTCTTGCCGTGCTTCAGTGCACCTGGCTAAGTGAGTGCCAGGTCTAAAGCTTATTTTCTGTGGCATATGAGTTACTAACTTTGTGTCTTGCTTAATGGCCTGTTGTTTAATTGTAGGATTGTAGTATTTTGTTACTGTTTAAATTTTGTTACTGTGGTTGGGAAAAAAAGGTTTTTGTTTAAAAGTTATAAATCAGTAAAATAGAGGGGAATAGAGCTCTGGAGGAATTTCAAGGATGCCTCATTTCTGCTTTTTGGGATTTAGGGCACAAAGCTGCTCATTCTTGGCTGAATCTTGGGATGGAGATTCTAGTGTCTTGTAAGCTGCACATCCTGCACCCCAGTATTTGCTAGGGAGTGAGTCAGTAGGCCTGGGGCCACATAGCAGAGACAGTGGCAGTGAAACCTGGCTTTCAAGCTCCTGTTTTGTTTGTTTCTTCTTTTGTTTTGTAAGCAGATAAGATGTTCCTGGTGCTCACATGTGAGCCACATTCTCTTCCTCTTCCTTTGCTCAGTTATCCCTAATATATATGTTGACCTCCTGATCTGAAGTATTGTGGGAGTGCTGGTGATACTCACCAGGCCTCATTCCTGGTTTTGTTTTAAGTACTGGGCAGGATAGTTGGGAGGTTGCCAAAGGTGTTCACAAATAGGCAGTGATTGGTTGGAAGAGGTATGACTGGATACAGGCATGGTGGTGGTAGTAGTGATAGGGTCAGAGAGGAAAGAGTTGGAGTAATGGTGTTTAATTTAGACTAAGGAAGAATAATTTTAAATCCTTATTCAACCACAAGTCTTACTGGATGACCATCATTATTTCTGGAGATGATGTTAATGCTATAAATCTCTTGTTTTAAACAACATAGCTTTCATTTGGTGGTAACAGAGAATAGGGGCTTCAGTGCCTTAAATTCATTCATTTATTTACAGCATTTTTATCTTGCCTTTTGACTGGAAGGTCTCCAGGACAGCTTAAACAAAACATTTAAAAATAATATTAGTAATAAAATTGAACATTGAAATGACCATGGAGCAAGTGTTAATAACACCGACACACCACAATTAATGTTTCAAATAGCTGTGCCACACTTTCTGTGCTAACAGCACTGTGTAGGTGTAGGTATCGGCAGTAGGTTTTCAAACTCTTTAAGTGTGGGTTTCACTGACAATTACTCAGGCATAACAACATTTATTTGAGGAACAAGGAAAACAATTGATCTGAGTCTTTGGTTTACTGCACATGCAGTTGTAACTAGAAGCTTCCTAAACTAGGGGTGGAGAACTTGTTGCTCTCCTGATGTTGCTGAAATGCAGCAACTCCCATTATTCCTGACCTCTGGCCATGCTGGCTGGGGCTGATGGGAGTTGAGATCCAACAATATCCGAAGGGTCACAGATCCCCAGCCTTGTCCTAAACGCAATCCCACCCAGCTAATCGCCGCTGGCCCATTCCCTTTTTCATAGAATTGTAGAGTTAGAAGAGACTACAAGGGTCATTTAGTCCAACCCCCTGCAATGCAGCAATCTTTTGCCGAATATGGGGCTCAGACACATGACCCTGAGATTAAGAGTCTCATGCTCTGCCGACTGAGCAATCTACTTTGCAGAGACTGTCAAATGACAGAATTCCACCTCCAGTAACTGGTCATTTTATGCTCTCTTCATTCCTCACTCCTTACATTTCATTGTCCAAGCACTTTCCACAGCCCTCCAAACATGGTTTACTACACCACTGTATGCTGAGTGGGGAAGAGAATAATAATGAAAATTAACACAGTGCCTAAATGTTAGTAGCATTTGTCCCTGACTAATCCTTCTGAGGAGATGAACTCTCCAGCCAAGATACTATTGCAAAGGAAGTCCCTAGCCCCTGCTATTGCCCTCTCTTCCGAAGTTGGGGGCAATCAGAGTATGGCATCCATTGGTGGGGCCAGCTCCAGGTTTGAGGAGGTTTTTTTCTTATTTTAAGAATTTTTTATCCTACCCTTCATTGTTACCAGGCCCAAAGTGGATTACAAACACACAACATATAATACAGCCAATAAAATACACGAATTAAAGTACCAGCTATCAAATTCATGCTAAGAGACTCTTGTAAAAATGCTACCTGGCCCCCCTCATCCCTAGTGGAGAAAATGATGCTGGATAGTAAACATTTGCTGATCTATAGCGGTCCCAGAAATCATTTTTTCTTGTCACAGAGTTTTGACTATTTTTTTCTCTTCCTTTTGTAAGTGTGCACATGGCCCTTGCTCTGCCCTTCTTTTGGTTTGCTTTCTGACCACAACCCCCACACTAGCTGAGCTCAAACAGTGCTTTGGTTTCATCTCTTGCGCTTCCTGCGCCAGATGTTTGGCAGTGGCAAGCGCTGTGCTTCTCGCTATAGGCAGTAGGGAAGCCTCCCTCGCAACCTTCCCCGCATGGCAGCACGTCTGTCTTGCTGCGCTGCTCTCTTCCTTGTGTCTTAGGAGTTGATCGCTTTAAGGTTTCCGCCCCGCCACACTCCCACAGTTTTTTCCATTTTAAATTGCTACTTACTGATAATGAGAACCCAGAAATAAACACAGGCGGATGCCGTGCAGCTGGGGAGGCCTCGGCAGGGGCACTTTTGAACTGCTGACTGACTCTTTGGCAGGGAGGGCTGCTGCCAGTCCTGCCTGCAAGGGAGCCCTAGCCAGCTCCCCTGCTGTGGGGATGTGGTTCATTCCTGCCTCGCCAGGGCCTGTGTGAAGTCAGGTGGGCGTAAGAACATAAGAAGAGCCTTCTGGTTTATATCTAGATCCCTCTAATCCACTGTCCTCTTTCCCACGGTGGCCAACCAGATGCCTCTGGGAAGTCCTCCATCAATGGCCCTCCCCCACTGTTGCAACCACAGCGAACTACTAGCATTGAAGACCTCCTCCTCCTCCTCCATGGTTTTGTCTAATGCCCTTCTAAAACCCTCTGAACCAGTAGCCATCACCACAACTGGATTTCACAAGATTTATTATAGATCGCATGAGGAAGTGCAATCTTCTGTCTATCCTGAATTTACAACTCTTACTGCATGTTGCAGTTTTAATTTTTAATTTTAAATGGTACTAATCAGCATGCATGATGTTGCGCAGAACGTAAGGGATAGATAGCATAGCCGCTGTGTGTGTTTGCTTTTATATATTTATTCCTCAGCCACTTTGTAGGGAATTAACCTTCATGAGCTGGCTTAGGCAAACAAAATGTCAGATACGCTGAGAACATTAGGCAGTTTTAAAACAATTGTAAGACCGCAGTCTAAAAGGCAATAGGCTAGAAGAACCATTCTGCAATATCTTTTCATGAAAACAGTTTAGAGCCACTCAGGAATCTCAAAAATGAGCAGCGCTGATACTCTTAAGAAAGAGCAACCGGAAACAGGTGAGTTTTTAAGGACGGTGTGAAGACCTGTGCAGTAGAGGCCGTATGCAATTCATACTTCAGGGAGAGGGCAACCTGTATCCAAGGCAGGACAACTGCAAAGTTCAGTCTCATAGGATCCAAGCTTTTGTTTTAAACAGTGAGCTACAAATACAGGTTTGAAAGTGGTGGGAAATGGCTCCTAAAATCTCAGAAGGAGTATGTGAAAGAGACCAGAGTTTTCCAACTGCTTTGATTAGTAAAGGTGAAACATTTGGTAATAAGGACTAGAAGCTTTTAATTGATACAGACAGGAATAGAAGGTTGGCATGCTGTACTTAGTTACTGCATTTATATCCCACATTTCAATAATATATTCTCAGGGCACCTAACCAAATAGTAATAAAATTACAACAAAGCACAGTGAAATCAAGTTATAAAAATTAACACTGCATAAAAAGAAAAACAGCAGTCGTTGCAGCATAAATTTCCAGGAGGGGAAACATGTTTGAAAGGCTTGGATTGTTGTTTTTAAAGGTCTTCAAATGGCGCTGAAAGGAGATTGAAATGGGTGTTTTGCAAGCCTCCCAAGGGAGAGCATAGCATAAATGGAGTGTTCTAACTGAAAAGGCCCATTCCCTGTTTTCTTCCTCCCTCATTTCAGATGGCAGGGGCACCAGGAGGAAATTTACACACACCCAGTGACAGAATAAAACCCAGTTGGTGCCAGTGGGTACTCAATTTTTAAAAGCTATTTATAACAGCTGCGAATGGATGGGGAGGGAAGGATTAAACTTTGCTCCTCCATGAGCTGTTGTTGCAAACCATGTCAGGCCCTCACACTTACCTCTGTGTAAGAAAAAAGCTTCGTATTGAACCTAGTGTATAGCTTAACCCTGTGTGATCTGGGAGGTATCTGATTTCACATATCTGACTTTTAGCTGTGAAGTCACAATATGGCCTGAGGCAGCTTACTGGCTTGGTTCAGAAGCCACGGCTAAATCATGGTGTGGTGATGCCTCAAGCTCCTGCACTCTCTTTTCCCCGTGGAAGCTGCAGTTCCCCATCTTATTTCATGACGCCTATTAGTTTGCTCACCTTACAGACTTGCAAGAATGGCTTAGAAAATGTATGTGAAGTACCGTGGAGATTTCAAACTCCTAGAAAAATGTACATGTTCAGAAGAAGGGTAATAAAGTGGCCAAAGCTGTGGGAGAGAGAGGTTTGGTTCATTAACCTAGAAATTGATCAGAACACACTGCACAATTGTACTGGGATTTTTCCCACTCTAGAAATGATGGGCTGGTGTTGATGGTTCTTACTAACTTCTTTGTGCAAAGTTTTTCACAGCCTGTATGTATGTCATGATTGGAATCCCGAAGAGGCTGATCATTAGTATTCCCATTGTACGATTGGAAAAAACTTGAAGCAAAGAGCTAATGCAGTAGTTTTCAGCCACTGTGCCGTGGCACCCTAGGGTGCCTTGAATGATGGTCAGGGGTGCCACAAGCAACACTGGCCTCTGTCCCTCTTTCTTTCTTTCTTTCCTTCCCTCCCTCCTCTTGCATCTCTGCCTCCCAAAGGCTTGTACAGCTGTTTATTGCAGCAGCCCTGACTACAAGCTTTCCAGGAGAATGGTTCTTCTGGGACTGGGACAGAGGGTGCTGGTTGCCAGGAGCTGAGGCAGTCTTGGAGTAAGCAAGCAAATGAGGGAGGGAGCCCAGCTAGTCAATATGCCAGCCCTTGCTGTTGGGAACGGACAGACAAGTCCCAGGCCCCTGTGGGGCAGTGTGAGGAGGAACCTCTCTTTGGAGCAGGGGGTCAGCTCAGAGACCAGGGGTGGCAGCTGCCCGGAGAACTTGCAAGGAGAGGAGGCTGAGGGAACACTCCACAAGGGAGGGTGTTCAAAAAAGAGTGAGAGGCTGCCAGCTCTGGAGGCAATGGGTGACATAACTGGGCTCCTGAGCCCCACAGAGGTGCCACAGAAAGCATGTAGTTGCTCAAGGGAGCCATGGACTCAAAAAGGTTGAAAACCTCTGAGCTAATGGCTTCCTTAGTGTGTCTGTCAGTGAACTCATAGCTGAATAGGGATTAGAGGTCACTTCTTCCATCTCCAAATAGAACAGACTCAAGAACTCTGCAGCGTCTGGAGAAGTGAACTCTGCAGAGAACAGCTTCAGTTATCACAGGTTCTTGTTTGGTGTGGCAGGAAGAGCCCTTCCCAAGCGTCTTAGCTTTGCACACCCTCCTTTGAGATGCTCGGCGGGTAAGCAACCACTTCCTCCAATTGTTGTCGCTCTTCCTTTTCCCAGTCGCCCTTTTTGTGCATGCCCTTCATTAACCCGTAAGCATCTTGACTTTGCTTGACATGAAGATACCTCACACATGCTCCTTAAAATTATAGCTACCCTCTGCTAAACAGAGAATTGCCTTTTCCTTCCAAAGTATTTCCCCATTTCTGTGGTTTGCTTTTATCAGTGATGCCATCACTCCAAAATGCTTCTAGAAACAGGAAACCAAACTTTTGTGATGGCCATCCACAGTCAGTGTAGATGTGCACAAAATCTCCATGTGCACTTCCCAAAATGTGGATTTCTTTTGTTTCAGTTTCAGTCAGAGACTGCAGATGAATAGTTGTGGGGGGAAGCTGGAGTTCATGACAGTGAAGACAGGAGGAATGTCGTGCTGGACTGCGACTCCCTTCAGCCCCAGCAATGTGGTCAGTGGTTAGGGATTCATGGAGTTGTACTTGGAGGATCCCTGTGTCCCTGGTTCTGCTTTAAAGGAAATGTAACCATTCACTGAGAGTGCATGTTTACTTCACCCAAACCCTCAATTATTTTCAGCCTCCCATTTCTCCCTCTTGGGTCCAGTGGAGGGTGGAGTGTCTCTGCTCAAGTATTTTTCTGGGTGCTACCTTATTTTACTGCATGCATGTAAGGCTCCAAGAGCTTGGAAAGGGAAGCCCTGGGCGTGGGTGGAAATATGGCTCAGTGCTTTTGTAGTGCCATTTCTCATCTATTTGCTTAGAGTCAATCATTCCGTCATAGAAACCTTTGCTCAGACAGACAAAAAAATTAAAATTCTGAGTGAGTCACAATGCACTTGGATTAAGTTGAGAGTTTGTGACTCATTTCTTGACTTAGCAAAAACGTCGCCATGTTTTGTGAGCTGCTAGAGCAGCTTGCTCCATCCTAGAGTCTGGAGAGCCGGCAGCTGAATTTGGAACAGGC